TTATGATATGAAAGGGGAGTCACCCATCCTTATATAGAGGAGAGAAGAGGGCCAGATAAACTCTATCAGAAGAATTCCTTGTCCATCAAGGTTTCCTTCTTATCTTAGAAGAGTGATTATATTAAAATTCTAATTACTGAACTTGATCTCAAATATTGGCTTTATCTATTTGTGGAGTCCAAATAAATTAAAAATATGTAGAAAATATGTAGGCTATTGGGCCACACTAGAAAAATAAATCCAACAATGCTATCAAAATTGCACTGCCAAACTGCAACTGTGGCAGCCGTGTGCTGCTCACAACACGTATTGGCAATATTGCTTCTACTTCTTGTAGAGAATTCCATGGTAACATCTATGAAATGAAGGCTTTGTCTCCAGAAGAGTCTTGGATTCTGTTTTGCAAAAAGACATTTCAAGAGAAGGAACGTCCTCGACATTTGGTTGAACTTTCAGAAAGAATCCTAGGAAGATGTGAGGGCTTGCCATTGGCAATTGTGGCAATTGCTGGTGTGTTGGCTTCAAAGGACTACAACAGAGTAGATGAATGGGAGTTGGTAAATCGCAGCCTTGGTGCTGAAGTAGAAGGCAGCGATATGATGAAAATATTGTTGCTAAGTTACAATGATTTGCCGTACTATCTAAAGTCATGTTTCTTGTATTTGAGCATTTTTCCAGAGGATCATTTGATCGGATGGATGAGCTTGATTCGGTTATGGGTCGCAGAAGGATTTGTGGAAGTAAAACATGGAAAGACCTCAGAGGAAGTCGCTGAGGCATACATCTATGAGCTTCTTAATAGAAGCTTGATTCAAGTAGCGAAGAGAAGGAGAGACGGAAGGATACAGAGTTGTCGTATACATGATCTTCTGCGTGAAATTATTGTTTCAAAGTCAATAGATCAAAACTTTCTAGCAATAACAGGTGCAGGAAATGTGAGCTGGCTTTCTAAAGTTAGACACCTCTCAATCCATAATACTTTGCAAAATATACCACAAGGCAAGTGTTTCTCTCGACTGCGTTCTCTGTTCATGTTTGGGGTAGATGATCCATTGTTTGAGTCTTCCACCTCTCTAATGTTTAATGGTGGGTTGAGGTTGCTAAAAGTTTTAAACTTGAGAGGTGCTTCTTTGAAGACATTTCCAAATCAAATTGTAAAGTTATTCCATCTCAGGTATCTATGCTTGAGAGGAACACAAGTGAGAGTGCTTCCGAACTCAATTGGAAAGCTTCAAAACCTAGAGGCGTTAGATCTTAAAGGTATGTATGTGACGGAGTTGCCTACTGGAATTCTAAGGCTCCAACAGTTGCGCTATCTTTTGTTATATCATACCGAAACTGACCATTTTTATTACCATCCGTTTGACAACAGACATGGGTTTAAGGCTCCATCTAAGATAGGACACTTGCAATCCCTACAAAAGTTGTGCTACATAGAGACAAACAATGTCAGTGACAACACCATATTGAAAGAGATAGGACAGCTAACCCAACTGAGGAGGTTAGGCATTAGGAAATTGAGAAGAGAAGATGGGGTGGCTCTATGCTCCTCAATTGAGAAGTTGAGCAATCTTCGTTCATTAGATATAACTCCAACAAAAGAAGACGAGATCCTTAATCTGCAATCTCTATCTCGTGCTCCTCAATTTCTTCAACGACTATACCTAAATGGACGTTTGGAGAAATTGCCGGATTGGATAACTTCTCTCTATGGCCTTACCACAATATTTTTACGATGGAGCAAGTTAATGGATGACCCACTGGAATCACTTCAAGATTTGCCCAATCTATGTCGTTTGGAGCTTGTTCATGCATATGAAAGAGAAGGATTGTGTTTCAAAGCTGGTAAGTTTCAGAGCCTTAAGCAATTAGGTTTAACTAGTTTAGAAGGTTTGAGATGGGTGACAGTGGAGGAAAGCGCGATGCCTCGTCTTGAAAATCTGTTAATTGCGGATTGCAAATTGGTGGAAGAGTTGCCCTTTGGCATTGAACATCTATCCAATCTTAAACATCTTGAGTTGGTTGATCTGTCAGATGAATTAGTTTCAAAGCTGAATCCAAGCTTACAAGGTGGGGAGTACTGTAAAATTGCACACATTCCTACACTGTGGATTGCACATTCAAAAGATGGTTGTTGGAAAAAATATTACTAATAGAGTGGGATAGAGGCAAACTTCTTCTTTTTTTTTTTCCTTTTTTTTTTTGATTTATTATTATTATTATTGTCTTGTTTTATTGATCAAGTGTCTATTGTATTTTTTCCTGTGATTCCGAATTTTCATTTGGTTTGTCTTTTTTATATTTATTTGTCTATATTTCACTGGCTTGGTAATCTGTTATGTAACTTCTATAAATTTTGAATTTTGAATTGTAGTTGTGTATCTTGTAATTTTAAGGATTTTAATTTATAACTGGCACAAGGCTGAAACTTGACGTAACCTCCATTAGTTTTGTGATTTGTAAGGATTTTCAAGCATTTTTTAGTGGGGTAAATTCAAACTTCTGTCAAAACCTTTCTATAAAAATTCTCAAATTAGATCATTTGTGGTGAAAAAAATTAAAGGCAAGGCAAGGCAAGCCCCAAGCATCTCTCGCACTGGTCAATGGTATCGCCAAGCCGCCGATAGTTGAAGTTTAGACCATGGCTTGGCATCACAGAAGCAGCCCGAGGTCACTTTTCTTGCACGATCATTACTATTTTGATGCCATTAGACATTGAGGGACGTGCTAATAGGTACGCTCGACCGTAGCTCCTAGGCAAATCGCCACACAACTTTTGGCATTGCAGAGCCTCTTTGAAAATGATAGGCTTGCAATTACAAAAGGGAGTGGTGCGAAAAAAGAAATGAGGAAGGACCATGTGCGGGAAAACACCGCATGGCTGTAACAAGGCAACTCCATCAGCTAAGCACCAAATAACCCGTTCGCAAGGCAAGGTAAGCCCCAAACATATCTCACACTGGCCAATGAAATCATCACGCCACCAATCGTTGAAGTTCAGACCATGGCTTGGCATCACAAAAGCAGCCCAATATCACTTTTCTTGCATGATCATTAGCATTTTGATGCTATTGCACAGTGCGAGACGTGTGAATAAGCACACCCGACCATAGCTCCTAGGTAAATCACTACCCAACTTTTGGCATTGCCAAGCCTCATTGAAAATGATAGGTTGGCAATTTCAATAGGGATTTTGGTGGGAGACAAGAAAAAGGATAGTAGGTGGGAGAAAGGGGCACCCAACGGAGGGAGAGCCTGTAGCCAAGAGACTACAGGATGGCTTGGACTACAGGGAAATGGTTTCAACCACGCAAATACTCAGGACTTGGAAGAGGGACTCCGTGGAGGGAGAACCTGTAGCCAAGAGATAGCAGGGTGGTTAGGATAGAGAGGGAATGGCTGTGGCCACATGAATACTAGGAACTAAGAGAGGGGACTCCACAGAGAGGAAACCTACAACCAAGAGACTGAAGTATGGTTTGGACCATAAGGGAATGGCTGTGGCCGTGCGCAAATAAAGGACTGGGAAAAGGGGGGAGCCCGTGGAAGGAGAACCTGAAACCAAGAGATTATAGGTTGGTATGGACTACGGAGGAACTGCTAGGGCCGCGTGCTAAATAGGGATTGAGAGGAAGAACCTACAGCCAAGAGAATGAATAGTGGGTTGGACCACGAGGAGACGGATGCGGCTGCGCGCATACTAGGCTACGATTATACCTAGGCCGCAGCCTTGGCCTCACGCAAGCTAGAGTGCCATTCGACTGAGGCCGCACACATGCTAGGCTGCTATGTTGCTTAGGAAGCGAGTATGCTGCCATGCCCCAGCCTTGGTTGCGCGTATGCCTAGTTGCTATGCCGCCCAAGCTGCATGCATGCCAGGCTACAATGCTACTCATGCCATAGTCGAAGGCACACCCTTGGCCGTGCGCATGTCAGGTTACCAAGGAGGACCAGGCCGTGCGCATGCCAGGCTACCATGCTGCCAAGGCCATGTCCATGCCATGTTGTCATTTCTACTAGGTCGCGAACTTGGCCGAGCGCATGCCAAGATGCGACGTTGCCAAGATTGCGCCCCAAGCTATAAACATGCTAGGCTGCCATGTCAACCAGGCCGCAGCCCTGGATGCGCGTACGTCATGATGGCATGTCGAGGCTGCAGCCCTGGGCGCACGCATGCCATGTCACGCTACTGGTAAAGGCAACCACGCCACCCCGACCACTACGGGCCACCACTCAACATATCCTATGCTTGCCTATAGAGTTTCAATGCTATCAACCAAGCACGGGCATGCCTAGTGAGCGCCCTGGCACAGGTGAGGCATGACCTTGCTTGCCAACCTTGAGGGAGGTACACCGTATTATAATAGCTTCTTAAACGCTTTCTATCTGGCAGGTGGAAACATCACCCATGTTCGCGGGGTCATAATGGGGTTTTTTTAAAAAGTAATGGTTTTTTGCCAAAACTTTCAACATGAAAGTTGTATGAAATAATTTAATACACCATAAAAAAAATTAAAAAAAATATTTTTTTACAGAAAATATTTTATTTTAATTTATCTCAATTTTAATACTTAAAAAATAATAAAAATTACTAAAAATACTCAAAAAATTCTAGAAAAATTCCAACAATTATAAGATGAGGCACTAGTAATTATAG